TAGGGTAAATGATGCATATATTATTACGATTATTCTTACGAAACTTATTGTGAAACTGAGGCCCAGAGCAATCCAGTGGCGCAGCAAGATTCAAACCCTGGTTTTTTGACTCCAAATCCAGGGTTCTTTCTGTGCCATCACAGCTTCCACAGAACCATACCACATATTTTAGGTGGTCTGGTTGAGGTCACAAGATTACCCCCAAAATGGAATTGCTGGTGGAGACTCCAGCAGATGGGCAGGTTCACTGTCCCTTCCCCACCCCATTCACTCCTCAACTAGGAGATTAGTGATCAATCCTGTGCCAGTCAACACACATTTATTAAATTCTTCCTATGGGCCAGGCACTGTGCTAAATGCTGAGGTTGCAAAAATAGGGGAAAAAACCCCATGGTCTTTGCCTTCAAGAAGCTCATACTCCATAATAAAACACCTATATCTTATTGGTCTATCTGACGCTTTTGTGAAACCACCTCTAAATCCCATAACCTCTGGTAAGGACTAGGACGCTGGGCCAAGCCAGGAAGGGGCTATATGAGATCAAACTAGCGGCAGTGGGGTAGAAGGGACAGAACGATGAAGGAATCCCTCCACTAAATTTCCTGAATCTGGTGGAAGTGCTCCTAGAACAAGTAGGAGCTGAAAAACAACCCTTATGAGGGCGAACTTGTCCTTAAATGCCCTGTGAGTTATGTAGACTGTACAGGCACAGGGAAGGGAGTGGGTGCTCTATAGCAGTGGTGTCAAAATCAAATAGAAATGGGGGCCACTAACCCATACATAAAGATCTTTTAACTTAGAAAGCCATGTATTAACATTATGTGCTACTGTATTTTTATTTATGTTGTTAAATTTTTCCTAATTACATTTTAATCTGGTTCTGGTTTCACTGAAGTATTTTACATTTCTGCTTTAGAGATCTTACAAGAGAAAGAGATCAATTTGGCTTTACTGTAAGTTTAGAGAGCCTTATAGACCCTGGGGGTGGGGGCTGGTAGTAGAAGCTCAACAGAGAAGGAAAGAGAGTTGCCATGGTTGTTTATGGGCTTGGGCATGAATCCTTTGGGCAGCTAGGTAACTTGGTAGATAGAACTCTGGGTTTGGAGTCAGGAAGTCCTGAGTTCAGATTTGACCTCAGATGCTTACTAGCTGTGTGACCCTGGGCAAGTAACTTAAGCCCTGTTTGCCTTAATCCACTGGAGAAGAAAATGGCAACCACTCCAAAATCTTTGCCAAGAAAACCCCATGGAGAGTATTGGCGTGCTGTGGTCCACAGGGTCACAAAGAGTTGGACATGACAAATGAACCCCTTACTTTTTTTTGTCATGTTAAATAAAATCTGTCCTATATTCAATGATTTCTCAGGAGCTCTAGAGACCTAGACACAAGCCGAATTCTGCAGATAAAATGAGCTAAATACAGATGTTCTTAAGGAAATCTTGGGTAAGCACATGAACCAGTAGAAATTATTACTGAAAATCCTGAAAGATTCAACCTTGTCCATGAGAATACAAAACTTTGCTTCTGGGTCATGAGATACGTATATACATACATATATATCTATATATATAGATATATAGATATATATGTATATGTATTTGTGTGTATGTGTATATATGTGTGTATATGTATATTTTGGACCATGATATGTAGATATGTAGATATGTATATACACATATATCAATGACCCCAAAGCAAAGTTTTGTATTATATATTTTTAAATATATATTAATATAATTGATAATTATTATATATGTAATATAGTAATTTATTTTAAATGATTCCTGAAAGAAGAAGTAGACTTTGTGTCTGTGTGTGGTGGTCTATACGAAGGAAGGGGGAAGGGAATAAATATATGTATAATCCCACTATGTTCCCAGCACTCTACAAATAGTTAGGTACTGTTACTATCTCCATTTTACAGTAAAGGGAACTGAAACAAACAGAGGATGAGTTACTTGGCCACTTACAGCAAGTAAGTGTTGGAGGTTGGATTTGAACAAAGGCCTTCTTGACTCCAAGCCCAGAACTCTATCCACTTGGCCACCTTAGTTACAAGTGCTTTTAGGAATTACTGGGAAGGCAAATATTTGATAGGAGGGAGAAGAAAGGGGGAGGAGAGAGGGGTCTCACAGAGACAAAATAACCAACCAAACAGGCAAAGACCTTGAAAGCATTTGGTAGGAAAACCTTCGGAAGGGAAGGAGATGGAAGCTTGGGGTTTCATACTTTAGTCACATAGCCGCCCTGTTTTGCCTCAAATGGGTTTATTTTCCACCTTAGCTGAAAGAGGAAAGGAAGGGGAAGGAGAGGAAAGGGAGGGTGAGGAAGGAGAAAGAGGGGAAAGGGAAGGAGGATACAAGGAAGGAAGAAGAGGTTAAAAATAATTAGTCTGAGAAGGCACACTAGAGCTTTTCATAGTACTACATAGTCCTGGAATGAAGTTATCTAAAGCAAATCATAGCCTGATGGATGTATCCCTATATAAACTCTCTAATAAGCATCCATCCAACCTCTATTCTATTTGAGAACAGCTACATATAAGGGATCTTGGTGCTGGAAAAAGAAGCAGTGAGGCTGGCCACAGAGATTTTTTTTTAAAGGAAGGTAGAAAAAATATTGGTGAATGGGAAAGTTTCAGGAGCTGAGTATGAGGCCAGGGGGTTTTGAAACAAGATAGTGAATTAGTAAAGGATCTAAGCATGTAACTCTCTCTGGAACCATAAAGGGAAAAGTACTAGGAATCAAATAACTATTATGCTAAGTATTTGAAAGATAGATTCCAAATTATACCTTAGAAATAGCATTCTATAAAAGCTTGCTCCATATATATTTTCTTCAAATACAGTGTTTAGAGATATTTTAATTCAGATGTTCCAATAAATTATTTAAAAAAATTAATTAGTGCAAAGTCCATAGTTCTAACCAGGATCTCAACTCTAAGGCATGGATTTTAAAATTCAAAATATACCTGAACACCACTACTTCATTATAGCCTTCTTAGCAGAAAAATTACTTAAGTGGGGAATGCCTTTTAAAAGCTGAGTCCATAAATAAGTTATAAAGTGACACCAGATGATTTAGTGCTTAATAAGAGACAATAGAGAAATGTAGGCTCACGTACTGTTGGTGGAATTGTGAACTGATCCAGCTATTCTGGAGAGCAATTTGGAACTATGCCCAAAGGGCTATAGAATTGTGCATACCTTTTGACCCAGCAATGCCACTAGTTGATCTGTATTCCAAAGAGATAAAAAAAATCAGAAAAGCATCTATATATATAAAAATATTTATAGCCCCTCTTTTTGTGATGGCAAAGAATTGGAAATTGAGGGATTGCTCATCAGTTTGGGGAATGGCTGAACAAGTTGAGGCATATTATTGTGATGGGATACTATTGTGTTATAAGAAATGAGCAGGTGGACTTCAGAAAAACCTGGAAAGACTTATATTAACTGATGCAAAGTGAAATGAGAACTGCAAGAACATTGTACACAGTGACAGTAATAACATAATGATGATCAGCTGAGAATGATTTAGCCATTCTCAGCAATACAATGATCCAAGACAACTCTGAAGGGCTTATGATGAAAAATGCTATCAACCACCAGAGAAAAAGGTGATGGAGTTTGAATGCAGGTTGAAGCATACTTTTTTTTAAACTTTCTTTGTTACTATTGGTTTGGGTTTTGGTTTTTTTTTTGGTCTGTATTTTCTTTTACAACATTGCCAACACGGAAATGTTTTGCATGACTGCACATGTATAATCTATATCAAATTGCTTGCCTTCTCAAGGAGCGGGGATGGAAGGAAGGGAGAGAGAGGATTTGGAATTCAAAATTTAAAAAAAGAATATTAAAATTTTTGTTTCCATGTCATTGAGGAAAAAATTTTAAAATTGATGTTAAAAAAAAAATAGAGAGGCATAGGAGAAGGAACACTGGCCTTGGTGTCAAAAGACCTTGGTCTAAGCCCTAGATGTGTTTTGTCAAAAATGTCCCACAATTTAAGAGATGTACAATGATGAGTCAGCAGATCACAGGACTACAGAATTTCAGTGAGTCAGTCAACAAGCACTTTTTAAGCCCTTACTATGGGCATTTCAGAAGCCGTCTAATCCAAGGCCATTCACATTTGTCTTTGTATTCCCAAGGCCCACCACCATGCTTGGCACATAGTAGAGGTTTAATAAATGTTTGCTGAGTTGAATTAAATAGAATTGAATGATGTGGTACAAAAGCTATGGACCTTTGCACAATGGGTCTTAGAACAGGGAAGACATGGAACTAGGGATGGCAGATACACATTGACTGGAGATCATGGAATGCCATTGACCAAATATGACCTGTTACAGTTAGGGCCAAATGTACCAGCTGCCAGCTGCCAGTACACAGGATTTGTCTTGGACTCTAGGTGTGGCAATCCCTTATCATTCCCCACCCCCAAGGAGCTCCCCTTGTCACTTGATGTCAGATTAAATATGTGGACTGTCTTCTATCCTGGGGGCATGGGGAGGTATAGATTTGCTCTGATTGGAACAGGAAAGAGACATATTTAAACTTGATACAACAAAAAGTCTCTTGATAAATGGAACAATCCCAAAGAGGAATGGGCCATGGATTCCCCCTCACTGGAGATGTTCCAGTAAAGACTTGCTGATCGAGTCTAGGGGACATTGTATATAGGGGGCTCTCTGGTTCAGGTATGAGTTGGACTAGATGACCTTTGATCTTTTTTTTTTTTTTATAATTTTTAGGCAATTGGGGTTAAGTGACTTGCCCAGGGTCACACAGCCAGTGTTAAGTGTTTGGTCTGAGGCCGGATTTGAACTCAGGTTCTCCTGACTTCAGGGCCGGTGCTCTATCCACTGTGCCACCTAGCTGTCCCTGATCTTTGACCGCTGAGAGCCCTTCCAATGCCAAAACCAGCCCTGCCGCTATCCTTTGAAAGAGAAGGAAGACCCACCAAGCTGTTGTAGCAAAAAATTTTATTCTGTCTTGAAGGCTTCGCCTCTGTTATGGCCTAGAACCCAGGGAGTCAGGGCAGTGCTGGGGGGAGGCAGGACAGGATCAGGCTGCTGGGAGGGTCTCGGAGGGTCTTGGGGGAAGGCTAGGGGTGGCGATGGTACAGATTCTTCTCCTCTCCTCCTCCTCCTCTTCCTCTTCTTCCTCCTTTTCCTCCCTATGCGGCCTTCTCTTTGGCAGCTTCCTTCTCTTCCTCCAGGGCCAGGAGCCTCTCTCTTTCTTTAATGAGTTGCACACCACAGTAGGTGACAAACAGAATGACCAGGGTGCTTTGGGGGAATCCTAGGAAGGTGGCACGAGGTATTGGTGCTGTGGGTTGGGTAAGATCCTACCCTTTTCCCTGCCCTAGCTTCACACACTGGTTAAGGCCACAGACTTCCTCTCCTTCCTCAATGTGATCTCCCCAGCCCCCTACAACACAGAGCTTGACCTTCCCCTCTCTGATGATCTCAAAGCACATAGATGTGTATGTGTATATGTGTGTATATGTATGTGTGTGTGTGTGTGTGTGTGTGTGTGTGTGTGGTATTTAGGGCTAGATGAGCATTTAAGACAATGAACATCAAAGCTAGGAGGCACCTTAGGATATAGAACATAGATCGTCAGAGCTAGGAGGGACCCTAGGACGGGCATGAATTGTCAGAGCTGGACATTATGGGGAAGGAAACTCAAGCTCAGAGAGAATTATTGACCTTCACAAGGTCACCTCGCTGTCAGTGACTTGAGTTAAATTGAAATGTCTGCCTCAGAGTCCTTCTCCCATTCCACCCCTAACTGGCCAGGCTTAGTCACAAGGGATGCCTGCCTCTGCCAGTCTCGTCTTTGCCCTCCCCTTCTTCTCTTCTCCCTGCAGGTCTCCAGTGCCCCCAACAAACCTGTGAACACTAGCCGCCTGATCACTAGCTCCATGAACTCCAGGCTGTTCAGAGACACGAGGTTGTACACAACGATGGACCAGAAGTTTGCAGCCCCAAAGAGAGCCCGAGCTCTCCGGGACATCTGCTCGGACACCGAGGCCTGTCCAGCCCAGGAAAGCAGAGGGAAGAAAGGGAAGGGGAGGTTGGGGGAGGGGGAGTTAGGACAGGGTCAGAGAAGAACAGAACTTTAGGCTTTAAGGGCCTCAAACACACAGCCCCCTCTTCATTATCCAGGGAGTAGGGCCAGGGGTTAATAGGGAACCAGACACCGGCCCTGGAGTTAGGAGGACGTGAGTTCAAATCCAGTCTCAGACACATAACACTTACTAGCTGTGTGATCCTGGGCAAGTCGCTTAATCCCAAATGCCTCACCACACAAAAAAATAAGGAACCAGAGATAATTTCCCCCTTCCTGCCCCTGCTCTCACTTTACAACTGAACTTGCAGGCAGGAAGCCTAGCTGGCCACTTCCTAGGTGTGTGTCCTTACAACAATTCCCTTCTATGAACCTCAGTTTTCTTTTCTGTAAAATGGGGGTGACATAACACATGCCTATAGCACTTTTTAAACCTCAAAGAGTTACAGACGTAGGTGCTGTAATATTATTTATGGGCTATTGTGATTATGAATAATAGAATCACAGACGCCTAGATCTGACAGACCATCCAGTCCAACCATCTCATCTTACGAATGAGGAAACTGAGGCCCAGTGGGGGACAGTCACTTGCCATCCAAGGTCATAATGAAGGTCAGTGTCAAAGACAGGCCAGAAGCTAGGTCTTAGGCCTCCCAGCTCAGGGCTCCTGAACACCAATTAGACAATATAAGTGAACTGCGTGTCGTTTCTTGCATTTCTACTGGACCCAACCCCTACTCTATTCAGCAGAACATTTAGGTAACATGGGGTTAGGATCCAGAGTTGGGAGGGAGCACGGAAGGGGGCTTGCGGAGCAAGGGGCTTCTCAGTGTGTGCTTGAAGTCTTCTGACATCTTGACATCTTCCTTCTCTCTTCTCCTGGCCCTCCCCTCCCCCCTGGCCTTGCCGACCCCAGCTCACCTCTGCTCGGGCCACTGGTCCCCACTCAGCAAGCTTCTGTACCCAAAGCTCAAAATTGAGACCAAAACAGTTCAGGGAAGACCACAAGTAGACAATATCACACGGCCCCAGCCACAAGGTGGTGATGGCAAAGGTGGCCAGCGTGGCTCCCAGCTCTGGCCCCACAGAGTGGTGCTCCCCACCAACAGCGTCATAGACATATCTGCAGGGGAGAGGGGAGGAGAGGATTAACTCCGCAGGAGACCTAGAGATTAACTGCAAGGGAGATTGGGAGAGTAGAGGGAGAATGTGAATCACTGGGACAGAAGAATTTGGGAGGTGGGGTAGGTCACGGGTCCCCCGATCAGCCGCCACCCTGGTTGTCCAGTTATGTCCCAAAGATGTTGCCAGTTTCCAGAAAGTGGACAAGTGCTACTCTTGACTGTTCCTTCCAGGGAAGTCCCACCCCTGGAAACTATCTGAATCAAATGGTCCTCTTCCTCCTTCCTTCATCTCCTATATTTCTTTAAAATAATATCTTTTTCAAGGAATGAAAACTGACTTTCCCTCTTAAGCTCTCTCCCCCAACCGTTGTAGAAAAAAGAAAAAAAAAATCCCTTGTAACAAATACACATAGTCAAAAATAACAAACCCTAGCACTGGTCACACCGCAGCCTGGCATTGCTCCATTCGACTCCCCATTCAGCTCAGGGGTTCCCCCACCCAGAGGACAATACTTGGGGGTAGGAGACACTCACTTGCATAGCCAGTCATTGATCCCTCGGTCAAAGTGCCTAGGATGTGGAGAAGAAATACTGCTGGAGGAAGGATGTGGGTAATATGGAGCCCCAGAGAGGTGGGGGTATCTCAGAGAGCCCCAAGGGACAGAGATGTATCTCAATGAGCTTTGGGAGCACAGGGGGATCTTGGGGAGCCCTGGGGGGAGGGGGGACTCAGGATACTCTGAAGGGAGTGGGGGGTCTGAGGACAGGGGTTTCTCAGGCAACAAGGGAACCTCAGGAGACAGAGGTGTCGCAGGGAGTGCTGAAAGGACAGAGATATTCAAGGAATTCTGGGGAGACCAGAGTGTCTCAGGAAGCCCTAAAGGGGCAGGGACATCTCAGAGACCTGTAAGGGTATGAACCACATGCGGCCTTCTAGGTCCTTGGGTGCAGCCTTTTGACGGAGTCCAAGTTTTACAGAACAAATCCTTTTATATTTGTTCTGTAAAACTTGGACTCCGTCAAAAGGCCACCCTTGAGGACCTAGAGGGCCACGTATAGCCTCAAGGCTGCAGATTTCCCACCTCTGGAGGAGTTTCCCAAGGAGACTCAGGGGACACAGGAGTGTCTCAGGGAGCTCTGAGAATAAAGGAGTGCCTTTGGAAGGCCTGAAGGGACAGAAGCATTTCAGGAAGGTATGAGAGTACAGGGGTAAGTCAGAGATCCCTAGGACAGGGGTCTTGAGGGAGTCCTGAGGAGACAGGAGTGCGTCAGGGGAATCTGAGGGCAAAGGGGTATTTCAGAGCATCCTAGGGAGGACAGGAAATTTTCAGGGAGCCCTGAAGCAGACTCCATGTTTTGGATGAAGATTAAAGATAAGGAGAAATGGAGGTGATATTGTGGTAGCACGATATGGGCCATTTTGACAGACGATGGAGAGAGGTGAGAAGTTTAATATGGATCACATCATACAGGAGGCACGATATAGCAGTGTTAGGCGACTTTCCACCATCCACACATTGGCAGGAGGTCTCTCTTGCAGAAACAGAGTGGCTAAAAATGTCTGGATTTGACTTGATGCTAATTTTATCCTTCCCATGGTGGAGGAAGTAATGAGAGAAGTGGCTATGCTGGATCTGAGCATGACAACAAGGAAGCAGAAATAATGGGAACATTGGAGGCGAAGTAATTCCTCGATCTTAGAACTGATGATCAAGGAGAGGCGATGTGGGCATAATTTGGTAGGTCTATGAGAAGCAGTCTGGGGTAGTGGCAAACATGTTGCATTTGGAGTCAAGAGGACCTAAATTCAAACCCTGCTTCTTATATTTACTTGTTATGTGACGAGCAGAGGTGGGTAACCTGTGGCCTCAGTAGGTCCTCAAGTGCCAAGGACTGAATTCAAAGGGCCACACTTGAGGACCTAGAGGGTCACAGGTAGTCTCAAGGCCACAGGTTACCCACCCCTGGACTATAGGTGAATCACTTAACCCCTCTGACCCTCAGCTTTCTGATCTGTGAAATGGAAGACATAGTGTCAGTACTATTTATCTCACAGGGTTTTTTGTGAGCATTAAATTTGATAATGTATATAAAGTGTTTTGAAAACCTTGAAGCACTCATTAATATGTAGGCTAGATTTTTGGAAAGCAAAATTTAGAGAAAGGATAAGTAGACTTCCATTGACTAAAATTCTTCAGGGGAAGTCATCTCAGGATGGGTGGGCATTGCTCAAAAATGAATTCTAAAGACATGAAGAGAAATAATTCCAGAGGAAAAGGTGGAGTTCTCTAAAGAGATCTGTCTGAATGTATAGGACACTTAATGACTACTTCAATTTTTAAAAAGTCATGTACTTACAAAGAAATATAGAACGACTCTTCTGACATAATGCTGAATGATTAGTAGAATGAGAATACTGTATATTTAAAGGAAAAAGGATGAGAAAGGAAGGGAAGGAAAAAGAATGGAAAAGGAAAAGAAAAGAAGAGAAAAAAAAGGAAAGTAAATAGGATCAAAGGGGGCAAGCCTTGGGTCAGGATTGGAAGGGAGCACCCAGGGAAACATTTTTTTCTTTGTATGTTTGTTAGTTCATTTCATAATTCCTTGTTAAAGGCTAAGTATTTGGGAGTAATATCTTAACCCTTGTTTCGTATGTTTATTTTTTGTTGATGGTTGTTAGGTATATTATATATCAAATATATATATGTATATATGATATTTCATTAAAGATAGGCACAGAAATGGAAGCAAGGCTAGGGAATAAAGAATGAACACAGTAAGTGCCTTATTGGCCGTAAGAAAAGGATTAAAGTGCCAAAGCTTAGAATAAACTGAGGCTCACTTATGATAATAAGGTAATAGAAAAAGCTTTGTCAGCTAGTTGAGGGGGGAAAGGAAGATCAAAGAGAAATGCTAGAACTACTGGACTCTTATTTTGCTTTTTTTTTTCTGCCAAGAATAATACTCTATGGACTAGAAAGGATAGAAGAAAGATGACTAAGAGGGAGTTCAAAAACCCAAGATATGTAAAGAGATGGTAGGAAACCATCTAGGCCATCTTGATGAGCTTAATTATGGGCCCAGACAGACGACGCCCCATGGAGAAAAGAACTGGAAGGTGTGATTGATGAGCCACTCTCAGTGAGATTTGAAAAATCATAAAGCATTTGGTGTGTTGGTTGGTTGTACTGAATTGCTCTTTATCTCTTTCTTTTAAAATCTTTGTCACAAGGAATGGATTATTGGGTATGTTTGGAAATGAACAGAATGTAAAAACAAAGGGTGTCAATAAAGAGGAGATCAAATTCTACAAAGAAAGTTTGTAGAGAATGGGAGAGCTACCATAGATTGGAGAAGGAAAAATATCATCCTGATTTTCAAAAAAGGAAAGAGAGTTGAGCCTAATTTGTTTCAACTCCTGGTAAAATTCTAGAATATCCTATTAAGAACCAGTGCTTGCCAAAGGTGTTTGTCACAACTACACAGTATATTCCACACAGGATTCTGTAAAGATGAAATAGAATTAATATAGATGAAAATAGAACGCAAGGATTCTCTATAGATGGTGAAGTCCTCCAGATGCTTCTGTTGGAGATAACATTGTGCCAGTTGCCAAGTCCTTGAATACTACAGAGCCTGTTCAATGAGTTCCACATCCACACAGTAGAATCAAGTCTAATCATCCACACTACCGAGATCAAGTGGATGAGCAATGCCTAATGTCCAGACTTGGATAGGCAGTTGAATGGACAATCCATGTTCCTTGGCAACATGTAACTCAGACAAGATGTTGCAAACAGACATAGAGTTGGGCCCCGAATTGAAGAGGAAGAGACAGGGGTAGATTACCTTTGGGAAATTGCATCTAGCACTTTCAAAAATTTCAAGCTATCCTTGAAACAAAAAAATTATCTTTTCTAACATCAGTATTTTTCCAGTGATGCCATATGGCTGCCAAACATGGGATACCATAATCCCCAAAGAATCAGAATTGTGAGTGACCCATAAGGCAACAGAGAGATACATGGTAGGCCTAAGTAGTCTGTGGTGCATTACCACTAGAGGTCTTTTAAGCAAAAGCTGGATAAGCAAACCCCTGTACAGGGGATTCTACAGAACTCTTCTATAGTAGAGGAATTCTTGCTTGGGACCAGATTGGACCAGATGTCCTCTAAGGTCCTGTCCACCTTGGAGATTCATAGGAATGAGGGTCTTTCAAGGGGGCATAAAAGTCTCTAGGCATTCTGAAGGGAAAGAGGAATTTTAGGGAGCTCTTGGAGGGAGGAGGGGACAGAAGAATCTCAGAGAGTCCTGAGGGGACAGGGATGTCTCTAGTGCCCCATGGCAGTGGTGGTGGTGGGGAGGGAACAAACTTACGTTTCTGCAAAGACATAGAGGGCTGTGATGCACTTAGGTGCCCGGGGTGGGTCCAGATGATCCAGACGGGCCACGGTGTTCACGACACCAAACATCACAGCTGCCTTCACCCAGTCATACACCAGATTGGAGTAGGCCAGGCCCGCTGGGGGCCAACAAGGACCTGCATCACTCACTCTGGCCTAAGCGGTCAGTACATCCACCACCCTACATCCAATCAGACCCTCCCCCTCTGCCACCCTCTATAGAACCCGAAAAGAGAGCCCTCCTGTCACCCCATGACCTGTCCATCCCTCTTTACCCTGGGTTTGTGACCCTCACTCCCATTTCCACCCTGGGGGTCCAGTTCTCTAAGGAGGCCATTGAGAAAATCTCTAAAACTTTTCAAAACAAAAATGATCCTTCAGTCTGTGAATTGCATGACTGACTGTCCTGCCCCAGTCCCTGGCATTTGACTCTCAGCATCCTGAGGGAGGTGCACCTCGCCCCTTTGCCCACATTTTTCTCCAAGATACCAGGAGATATTTGAAAGTGACTGAAGGTCTCTAGCTCATTAAATAGTCTTAGTGGTTGCTTTGCTTGTCTGCAGAGCCTTGGAATCCTAGGCCCGCAGCATCATGGAAGGGTTGGAAGTTGGGGTTGGAAGGGATTGTCTAGTCTAAATCATATCTAAGCATGAGTCCCAAAAGGGTTTAGCATCCCCCAAAAGAGGCAATGTGGCCTCCATCTGAAGCCCTCCAGGGCCCCATTCACCACATTCCATCTGTAGACAGCTTTGAGTGTTAGAAAGGTTTTCTTTATATGGCTATGAAACTAAAATCTGCCCATCTTTGTTCATCCAGGGAACTTTGCTTAAATATCTTCACTTAAGTACTACTTCACTTAAGTACCTACTGTGCACAGATCACTTTGCGGGATGCTGGGCTGATACCAAATTTAGCTAAGCTCTGGCCCCTGATCTCCTGGAGTTCAGCTCTCCTCTTTCAGTGCCTGATAGAATCCAGTACGATAAGCCTTCTTTGTTACTGCCCTTCAAATCCTTAAAGATAGGTACCACTCTCCTGGCAAAACAGGCCCAGTCCCATGGCCTGGTCTCTGGACCCCTCACCATCATGGTTACTCTGGACTTGTTCTAGCTTGCATCTTTCCTAAAATGTAGTGTCCCTAACTTGGACAGACTATCCCTGATGACGTCTGTTAAAGGAAGAAGATGGGGGGTTTATTACTTCTCCTGTTCTGAACTCTTGGGCTAGAAATCAGGAGACCTGAGTCTCCTGTGTGTCCTTGAGAAAATCATGTCTTCTCTGGACTTCAGTTTTTCTGTTTTGTTTTGTTTTGTTTTTCTGAATTTGGAGTCAGGGAATCTGGTTTGAATTCTGTTCCTATACCTATCAGTTGTATGATGCTGGAAAATACTTTCATGTCTCTGGGCCTCAGTTTCCTCATCTGTAAAATGGGGGTGATGTCTCCCATGCTTCCCATTTCCCAGCATTGTTTTGAGAAAAGTGCTTCGTGAACTCTAAAGCACCCCCGAAAATGAGAGCTGTTATTGTTGAGAGGATGCTGCTGTGGCCCAGGGAGTGAAGAGACGGTGGCACAAAGGTGCTCTTTGTTTGAGGACAAATAGAGCTAAAATCTTATCTGGGCAAGAGGAGAGGAGATGGCGTCACCCCTGGCTTGGGAGGAGGAGAGGGGGTTGGGAGAGGAAATGGTTGGGAAGCCGAGGTTATCCCAAGATGTGAAGGAGTAAGTGGCCTGAGGGGATGGTTTCAATTTTGGCCCTGTGAGCCATCAGGTCCAGGACTCCCCAGGATCCCCTCCCTGGATAGAATGAAAAGCTGCCTCCACCTTGGGCTCCCTATATCCTCTCCCTTCTCCTCTCTCCTCAACTCACTCTCTTTCCCACTCTCTCGCCAGGGAACAGCTGAAGTCAGGAGACTTCTTTTTCTTGGGAGGGGGCATCTCTGATCCCCTTTCCTCCCTTCCAACCCACTCATCCCACCCCTCCTGGTAATTAAGGTTATACCATGTCCTCAAGACCTTGACAGTGTCAAGAGAATCAGAGAATCACAGAAGCATTTCTGTGCCAGGGGACCTCAGAGATCAAATACAATGGCCTCATTTTGCAGATGAGGCCTGCACCTCATGCCAAGACAGGAAGAGATTTGCCCAAGGCCACACAAGAAATTATAGCCAGGACTTGAGTCCAGGCCTCCACGACTCCTTTGTACCAGTGTTTTGGGCCTAGACTTTTGGTTTAGATAAAGTCCAGCCTGCTCACGTTGGTATTCAAGGCCCTTCAGAGTCTGGTCCCACACCACCTTTTCTGTCTTCTTTTCCCTTTACAACCCTTCCCATTTAGCCAGGCCTATTACTGGTTGGATATATGGTGTGATTGTCTGCAGTTCTCTGAAATTTGCTATTCACATCATTCCCCTATTAGAGGCCTAACTGGAGCACACTCCTTGCTCTGTCCTCTTTCTTCTGTCTGATCTGAGCTGTTAGGGCTTGAACCTTATCTGTGCCAATCACAGAGAACACTGTCCTGCTCTGGTTTCTTACAGTTCCAGGGAGATGCCCTCATGATCTGTCCCTATCTCTTCAATCAGCCTGTAAGCTCCCTGAGGGCAAGGCCTGGACCTGTTCCTCTGTCTCTGTCCAACCTTGTAGAGGGCTGGGCACACAAGATAGAGCTGACTTCCAAGGCTCTCCACTGCCCACCGACAAGAATTTGCCTGGCATTTAGGACCATTCATAGCTTTCTTTTTGGTTTTATCTCCTGCTAACTTCTGTCCTTCATACATGCTAGGTTCCAGTCAGAGAGGACAAGGAGGTATTTCCCAGTCTCATCTTGTCTTTTCCAGCCTCTGTGCGCTGGTATCGACCGTCCCCTATAGCCGGAACATACATCTCCTCATCTCTGTTAATATTCTCCCATTCCTCCAGGGGTCATCTCAGGGGTCATCATTAAACCTTCCTTGACTACTCCCCCTCTCCCTACCAAGCTGAAAGAGATCCTTACCCTTCAAATTTTGTCCTAGACTACTTTGTCTAGGTCTCTCTTTTTCACCCATCACATTCTTTCTTGAATTACAGTTATCAACATGTGTGTGAATATATGTATGTATACATGTATATATCATTAGAGTATAAGCTCCCTGAAGGCAGGAACTATCTTCTATATCTTCATATCCCCAGTACTGCACATAAAGCCTTATAATTCAATTCCATTCAAATTCAAGAAATATTTAGTAAGTGCCTATTAAATACTATATAGACTTTCACAAAAGTGAACCAGTCCCTGCCCTTGGGGAGCTTCTAGTCTACTGGAAGGATACGAGTACCCAGATACATAAATGCAAAATATATACCAAGTAACTTAAAGAGGAAGAAAGCACTAAGTGGGCACTTAATAATAGTTTTTTGAATTGAATTGATTAGCTCCCCTCTCCGAAAGAATTCTGGAGATGCTTTTGCCTACTTCTGATTGAGCCTCAGCCACCTTTCTCTCATACACACACATTTTTCTATGTGTATATATACACAAGAAACAAACAAGCACACAGAGACACATACAAACATATACAGAGGCACATAAAACATAGTCATAGACATAGACGTATTGCCACTCTTCCAGGATGGACATGTCCTACCCCAAAGTCTCAAATCTGCTCAGGTCACTGGAGGTGGGTGGCCTGCCACAGGCTCAGAGTTCTCCAGCACCCACAAATGCTTTCTCTAAACCACTTTTGTTTGAGAAAATCAGCCTAGGTCCTGGAGGAGGGGGAAGTCACGGGTGTGGGGGAAAGACCCTTGGTCCCTGCCAGATCCCCCATCTAGTCCTCACCCACCTAGAGCCCAGTCTGAGAGCCGATTGGTGAACTTGAGGTCGTTAGGAATGGTAAGGATGTAGAAGAAATGAAAGAACACGTCCACTGCCACAATGGAGGCCAGGCTGAGTCCCGCCTGGGTACGGATCTGCCACATTTCCCACTCCCTTCGAACAGGCTCCAGCTGGCTCACCTGAGAGTAGGGGGAGGAGGAGATGCTTACCTAACTCTGGCCTCACTCTCGCCGAGTCACAGTCCTGCCCTTAGGGATACCCCCACCCTCAGCCTAAGTTGGGGGGTGGTGGAAGCAGCCCTGCCCTCAGGGGAGCTCATGGGTTTTTTGGGGGATGGGAGAGCATGAGCCCCCCACCCCAATTCCCTTACCTGGGCATGGAACTTGTCAAAGGTCATGATGGGTCCAAAGAAGAAGAAGGGGAGATAGAAGTTGTATTTGAGCAGGTCCAGGAAGGAGTAATTGCCTTCTGGTCGATCACAGTTCTCCAGGGCAAAGCTCATGCATCGGAAAATCGTGAAGCCGCTGCCTCCGTAAAACAGCACATCTTGAAGATCAAAAGTGCCCGTTACAAACCCGCTCTGGATGAGAAAGAACAGTAACCGCGCTCACTGGCGGCCCCTCGGCATCTTCCCCCTCTCCTACCCACACACTCCTCTTCCTTCAGGGCCCAGTTCAAAGCCCATTGCCTGCAGGAAGCCCATTCTGATCAGTCCAACCTATGGAGCATCTCACTGATCAAATTTGCAAAGTTCCTGGTACATAGCAGGTGCTGTCTCCCAGCTTATGCAGGCTCACTCATTCATTCATTTACTCAGGTCCTCAGTAAACGTCCTTTCATATCTGGACCTAAGAGCCACAACACTGAGGGGGAATAAAGGAAAGAGAGAACCTGGTCCCTGCCCTCAGGGAGCTCAAAACCTAGGAGAGACAAGGCTTGCAAACAGAGCAGAGTGTGGAGCCAACGGTAAATTCAGGGACCCAGCTCCAAGGGCTGGAGGGAAGAGGTCGCATAGGCTGGGCCAGCTTCATATGGGGCAGGAGGAGGAGGACGGGGGTTGAACTGGACCTGGAAGGACAGGGAGCATTTGCAGAGGCATCAAGGAGAAGGCAAGGCACAAATCTCAGCTCTGCCACTCACTACCTGTGTGACCTTGGGCCAGTGACTTACCCTTTCTGGGATTTAGTTTCCTCCTTTGTAAAATGAGAGGTTTGGACTAGAATATATCTGCGTTCCCTTCCAACTCTAAGACCTGGGACTCTTCTTCAGCCACCCATGGCCCCTCTTTTCTCCTCCCCTCCCCAACCTTGCTCTCATCTCAGGCGCACCTGCCATGAATTGGCTGGCTCCAGCTTGAAAGAGGCCAGACTGGCGAGCCCCAGGGTAAGGCAGAGCCACCGCTGCTTGAGCAGGGAAACCGTGTAGAGACCCAGGCAATGGGCCAACAGGAGCAGCATGTAGGAGGGGCCCATGGTCCCCAGTACAGCTAGGGCCCCATACACTGCATACATCCACGAGCGGAACTGTGAGAAGAGAAAGACAAAGGCGTAGACCCAGTGGAGGTAGAGGCAGTGAGGACACGGGGTGCTTTGAGGGAGCTGGGCTAGCTCTGGGCTGGGAGTCAGGAGACCTGAGTCCCACCTCTCTAGGAAAATGTCCTGTGTGACCTTACGTAAGTCATTTTTCCTTCCTGGGCCTGAGTTTCCACACCTGTAAAATGGATTTAGACTGGATGATCTCTAAGGATTCACTCAGTTCTGATATTCTACGATCTAAGGTCCCTTCCAGCTCTGACATTCTGCTCAGTTCAATTCCATAAGCATTCATTAAATGCCTGTTATGAACTAGACACAAAACTAGGCACTGAGGGGGTACAGGGATAGAAACAAAATAATTCCTGCCCTCAAGGAGTTTATAGTTCAATGATCCTAAGTTTGGGGAAGGATTTCCTGCCAGAGCCTGGGCCATGTGAGGCCATAAGGGGGACATGTGTAGGATAGGCAAAGGGATAGATGAGGTGACATCTACTTTTGGGGGGACCCCAACTTACCTGTGGGGCAATCATGGAGCAGATCTTGGCAAAGAGCACGTGACCAGAGAGGGCAAAGATGATGATGTTACGGAAGGAGGTGAACCACATTACCCACTCGAAATCTGCTACATCCTGGTGGAGAAAGAGAACACTGAATAGAGTGTCTAGGTGGCATAGTGGATAGAGTGTGGGGCTGGGAGTCAGGAAGACTCATCTTCATGAATTCAAATCCAGCCTCAGATACTTACTAGCTCTGTGACCCTGGGCAAGTCACTTAACCCTGCTTGCCTCAGTTTCCTCATCTGTAAAATGAGCTGGAGAAGGAAATAGCAAACCACTCCTGTATCTTTGCTAAGAAAACCCCAGATGGGGTCACAAATAGTCAGACATGACTGAAACAACTAAAAAACAACAAAGTAGAGAGGTCCTAGAACTCTCCCTTCAAGCTGGCAGGGGACTTGGGCTTGATGCCCCCAGCATATGGAATGTACTCATTGCACATTTTTGGGGATTTGAATAGGACAGCATTTGCTTCCTTTTGTGTGGGGTAGATTTACACCACTGGTGGGGCAAAGGGAATTAGTCTAAGGTTGTTTAAACAAGTAGGGTCATCCATGGGTGGAGACCAGGACATTTTTTCACTTGCCCTACTCCCAAACATTTCCCCTCAGGCTTGGGATTCCACCATCAGTACTTAAGCTCTTAGCACAGAACCTGGTCCACAGTGAGTGTGAAATAGATGCCTGTAGATTGAGTGACTCATTTCTGTTTTGGGTTAAGGCAGTGGTTCCCAGGCTATACAGATGGGGGCCTCTGGGAGTTATGGGATCTATTACAAAAGGTTCATAAATCCACATGTAAACCAAGTTTCACTCACTGTCAGAAGATGCAACTGTGTGAGTGCAATAGGTAAGCAGATAGACCCGGAGAGTGGCTATGTCTCACATGGCAGTATTTTCATGTGCATATAGATGTTACTGTGATTAGTGACCTATCAATTCATTTCAAAATGTTCCTGAATTCATAACTGCTTTTTGTTCATAGCAGAATACTAACAGTTCAAGCACCATCCCAGGGGGTGAGAAGTGGGTGCTCAGAGAGATTGTTTGCAGCCTCAGACCAAACACTTGAAACCTACTAGCTGTGTGACCCTGGGCAAGTCACTTAACCCCAACTGCCTAAAAATTTTAAAAAAAAGAGAGAGATTGTTTGAAGTTAAAACATGGTCTTCATACTTGAGAAGGTGGGGAACCACTGGGTTCAAAGTCAGAGGACACAGGATAGGATCCCCCAGCTCTGACACTTGCTGGCTGTGAGACCTGGAGCAAGTCAGTGAACCTCTCTGGGCCTCAATTTCTCTCTTAGAAAAATGAGGGGTTTGGACCAGAGAATCTCTATAGTTTCTTCTTGCCCTAAATTCTATGATTTCCATTAAAATTCAGATCTTCTTGAAAGAAGAGATCTAGTAGGACATACTAGCCCTGGTGATTTGATTGGCAGATAGAAGGGACCTTGAGGGGAAGGAACATAGGATGGGTCAACTTCAGTTGGGAGTGTGGTTGCTCTGGAGGACAGCAGGCTTGGGCAAGGGAGCGGGTGCAATATGAGGCTACCAGGCCCTGCTGGTGGCAGTCATAGCATAGGAAAGGGAACTGTATCAGGGGCTTGTAGGCCTGAGGGGTTAGTAGCAAGAAGGAACAAGGGATGGGGTGATAAGGTAGGGGGCCTTAACTTCTGCCTGGTCATCTCAGCAATATTTTCTTCCTGGCTCTCAGCCCTCCCTGTGAAATAGGAAATGCTATTGGCCCCTGGGGAAGAAAGATGGGGAGGGGGCACCTACCATCTTTCGTCCAATGTAATGCCAGCCAGGCTTCACCGACTCCCTGAAGGCCTTCCTGTTCATGTTGTCTGAAAAGAGATGTAGGAGTCACTGTCATTGACTTACTAGGGTTGGAGAGAGGTTCCTTGGGCGCCATCACTGCCCTTCTCTGAAGGCTAAGGTTAGGCACTGGAGCCTCTCCATGGGGAGAGAGGGAGGGAGTGTGTCCCTATAAATGTCCAGTGTATCTGTGTGTGTGTGTGTGTAGATATATGTATATGTGTATTTCTCTAAGTCTACACCTATGCATCTATGGATGCTTCTATCTTTGCCTGTTTCTATGAAGCAAGAGTTCTTAGAATCAGGACCTCTGAGGTAGCTGACACATGCAGACTGCGTGACCCTGCACCGGTCATTTAACTTCTCAGTGTGCCAAGCCACTCTTTAACACTGTAAGTAACTGGGTAGTTACCTATCTGCTGATGGAATCACAGTCCTGGGCCCTTCCCGAACTATCTACATCTGTGTATATTATAGAATCTCAGGGGCTAAGAGAACCTCAGAGATCCCTTCTCTTCCAACCTATCTCTGAATAGGAAACCCCTCTATGCCATCTATATTGTGCCTGACATGTGATCCCCTGGCCTTTGCTTTGAGGCTTGTGGGGATGGGGAACTCACCACATCCTAAGGCAGCCTATGCATCTGGGTGTGTTTATGTAAGGAGGAGTATCTGTGAGCATAGGTACGTATTTATGCATGCTTCTCAGTGTATGCACGTCAGTCTCTAAGTACAAATAATGATGATGATGGTGGTTAACATTTAAACAGTACCTACTATGTGCTAGGGGGCAGCTAAGATGGCACAGTGGATAGAGAGCAGGGCCAGGAGTCAGGAAGACTCATCTTCCTGAGTTCACTGACTCAGACACTTACTAGCTGTGTGACCCTGGGCAAGTCACTTCACCTTGTTTGCCTCGGTTTCCTCATCTGTAAAATCAGCTGGAGAAGGAAATGGCAAACCACTCCTGTAACTTTCCCAAATGGGGCCATGAAGAATTGGACCCAACTGAAAATGACTAAACAATAATAGCAAATATGCCAGGCACTGAGCTAAACACTTTATAATTATTTCTTATTTGATTCTCACAGCAACCCTGGAAAGTAGGTGCTATCATTATCCTTATTTTACAGGTGAGGGAACTGAGGCAGACAGAAGCAAAGTGACTTGTCCAGGATCACACAGCTAGTAAGTGTCTGAGACCAGATTTGAATTCAGGTCTTCCTGTCTCCAAGACTGGCTCTCTTTCCACTGTCTCACCTATTGATGTCTGCGTGTGTGCCTGGGTGAACAGCTCCATTTGCACCCCCGTGCTCTTTGTATCATCTAGGTCCAGCTCTGGGAGTGATCTCAGGTGGCCTTTCCTCCCTAGGAAACATTTCCAATATTGCCTCCTCACACCTCAACCCCTGATGCTAGGATGGGACTTCCCTCTCTCTCTCTCCCTCCATTGCCCCCCACCTCTGTCTCCCATTTCATCCCACCCTCCTCCTCCTCCTCTGTCTCATCTTCCTCCTTTTCCTTCTCTTCCTCTTTCTCCTCCTCTTCCTCTTCCTCCTCCTCCTGTCTCTTCTTCGTTCTCCTCTCTCCCCTTTCCCCTCCTCCTAATACTAATACCAGTGGAGTACATTACAACGTGCCTTCTCCTATAACTACCCGATGAGGAAAAGAGTGTACATCTGATATTGTGTAGATGGGGTAACAGAGATTTCAAAGTGTTGTGCCCCAGGTTATACAGATAGTAAGTGGCAAAAGCAGAAAAAAGAATACACTGGTGTAAATATTAACTTAAATTTCCATGGGGCTCTAAGGTTTATAAAGCACTTTCTTCACAATAGGCCATGAGACAGGGTGGTACAAAGGTTGTCCTGTGCATTTTATGGATGAAGAAACTGAGGCCTTGAGAGGAGTGATTTGCCCAAGGTCACATAGCTAGAAGGCATTGCAATAGAGATTTGAAACCAGGGCTTCAGATTCAGAATGCCAAAGGAATGAGGATCTCTCTCTCTCTCTCTCCATCTGCATCCACCCCTATACCTCCCTTCCCTCCCCACTCCCCCCAAAACTCCCAAAGATGTCAAAGAATCCATTTTTTCAGCGTAGGGGCTTACCTCGAGATGCCTCAAAGAGCCCATTGCCAGCATAGCCCAGGGCACACACAAGAACCAGGGCATAGATGGCCAGCTCAGGAGGGGGCAGCGAAGTCTTGATGCCCATAATCGAGGAAAGGGACCAGTGGTGCCCTGGAGCTGGAGGAGAGGACCCAACCAGGTTAGCTGCTCTTTTGTGTCTAGAGCCCAAGCAAAGTAGCACTAATGTGGTCTCATCGGTGCCCCGCCAACACCCTGTCCTGCCTTTCAGTCCATCTGCCTCTCTTGGGGAAAGTCAATGCTCCACCCTGGGAATCCTGGGAGCCACACAGCCCCTGTCCTCAGGGAATCCCTGGTTTGATAGGGGGAACCATAACCTCTGTCTTCAAGCAAACTCCTTCCCCCCATCTGAAGGTGAGACCCAGCCCTGCCCCTCTGGGAACCTCTGGACCGAGGAGGTAGAAAGAATAGTGCCTCTTGCATGGGGTCAGTCTCACTGAAAGAATATTAATGCGAATTCTTCACTTACTATTTTTTCAAGCCATTTTCCTATTGGTAATCTCCTTGGATTCATAGACTCATACAGTAACCCTATGAAGGAGTCAGGATAGGACTAACTGGCCCTATTTTACAAATAAGGAAACTGAGGCTCAAGTTGACACAATGAGGACAAGAACCCAGATCTCTAGATTCCCAATCAGGGGCTCTGGCTTGCACCCTTTGACCCCCAAACATCTATAGCCATGGGAGTCATTCCCCTCGAGTCTATCCCCGCCCCACCCTTCTCTCCCCATGAACTTCCCCTGCCTCCCAGGGCCTAGGGAGCATCTCCCCCCTGTTTCCACCTAGCACAGGGGTGAGGGTCCTCACCTTGCCTAGGTCCGGGTCTCCCAGGGGCCCTAGAGTGGGCTCAGAGGGTGAGCGAGGCCTGGGCCCTCCTGCTGCCTCCCTTTGAGGAGGCTGGTTCCTGGGCCAGCCTGCTCCGGTTACTGGCCTGGCTCTGCCACCGCGGCCCAGGGCTCAGGTTCCTGAAAAGGGAGGGGAGGTGGAGTAAGGCCAGCTTATCTCCCTCACTCCTCTCAGGGGCCTCTCCAGGCTGTCCAACTCCCCAGGCTGGGCACACTGAAGAAACAGCCCCTTTCCTTTCCCCATCCACACCTCAGGACTGAGGACCCCAAAAGAACCCTTAGACATCATCTAGTCCTGCCCACCTCATTTTACAGATAAGAAACCTGACATCTAGAAAGGTCTGGCAGGTAACTCACCCAAGGTCACACAGTTAATAAGTCATCGGACTAGGACTCGAATCCAAGTCTTTTGACTCCAAGTCAAGTGTTCCTTCCACCACAACACAGTATAGTACTATCCTATAATATATATGAATATATATGATGTTACTATAGTAATATATTCATTTTATAGATGAAAGAACAGACTTGAAGAGGTTAAATGACTGTGCTTCTCCCTCCCCCCAAAAAAGAGGGGCCCTCAAGGGCCTTCAATCTCAGTTTCTCTAAGCAATTATTAAAGGACCATGCCATCTGGGGCAAGTGGAAATACCCCATTTTACTCCTGGGCTACAGGGGCAATTGGGGTAAGAGCTGTGCTTGTTGGGGCTTCCCAAGGGGTCGGGATCATATGTTTGGGAGCTGGAAAGAACCTTAGATCATCTAGTCCAACCCTCTTATTTTAGAGTTGGGGAAACTGAGGCATCAGATAGAGGAAGGGACCTGCAAAAGATTGCGGAAGTATGTGGCAGAGCTGGGATCCCAAGGCAAGCCGGAGTTCTTTCCTCTATACCATGTTATTCTTCTTATTGAGTCCCCCTCCCTCTTATTGAGCCCAACCCCCTCCCCCAGCCCCTCAGCCGTCAGTGAGCCCCCGTCCCCATCCTCACTGAGCTCCCATTTCACTGAGGCCCCATCGTCACTAAGCCCCTCTCTCCTCACTGAGTCTTCATCCCCAGCAATGAGCTGCATTCCCTTATCGAGTTTGGAGTTTCTTCACTTAGCTCCCATTACCTCACTTAACCTATCTCCACCCCTGCCCTTCACTGAACCTCCATCCTCCTCCGTGATCCCCTCTCACAAAGCAGATTTCAATTGTATATAGGGAAAAATACTTCTTAATAATTAGAGCCAGAAGAGGCTGCTTCTGGAGGTGGTGAGTTCCCCATCCCTGAAGGTCCTCAGTCAGAAGCTGGACAACCCCTTGCTGGGGATGTTGAGAAGATTCCTGCTCGGTTGGACTAGATGCTCTAGGAGGTCCCTTCTAACTTCTGATACAGTGACAAAATCTTGAAGACAGTCTAGCCTACCTCCCTCATTGTACACATGGAGAAACTGAGGCCCAGCAAGGGGGAAGGGACTACTCGTCCAGGTGGGGGTGAGTTACTGGCTGAGCTAGGACTTGAACCATGAATCTCACGATGCTGAGGTGATGGCTTCTTCCACGGGGGTAATTGTATCCCTCTGTTATACTGATTGGGTCTCTACAGCCAAGGCCCAACAGGGTAGTTGTGGATTATTGGATGGTTTGGGTTATCTGTGCCCCCTCCATGGCTTCCTGAGAACTCCCTGCCTTCATCCACATCATCGCTGCCTTCAGGAGTTTACCCTTTTCTAATAACATACTTTGTAAGGGTCCTCCTCTCCCTCCCTCTTTATCTATTTCCCTCCCTTCTCTTCCTTCCTTCCTTCCTTCTGTTTATATCTTCCTTTCCCTTTCCCCCTCCCTTCATCTAAGCCTTCTCTGTCTTTCCCTCTCTCTGTATCTTTCTTCCCTCATTTCTTTCTTCTCTTCCTTCCCTCCATTTGTCTGTCTCCCTTCCTCTTTCCCTTTTTTCCTCCCTCTCCTCCATCCATCCCACCTTCCTTGTCTCTCCTTCTATCCCTCCCTCTCTCCTTCTATCCCTCCCTGCTTTCCTTTTCTCCTGTTTGTCTTCCTCTATACCACTTTCCCTCCTTCTCTCTCTCCCTAGTTGCCTTGGGCTCCTTGGGACCAGTTTGGGACTCCATAAGGGATGGAGCCCAGTTCTACAATGACTCCAAGTGGGTCCCTGACAAAGCTTTCCTGGGACAATGACTGAAAGGTCAGAAGCATGGCTCCTGAGACTGCTGAGCTGTATCCTCCCTGTGAAGAACTCTGTAGGTACCAGCAAGAACACTTCCAAGTAGCTCCTCCCTTGCAAGATGAGGTTAGTGGGGAGGCCAGTGTGACCATGGCCACAATGACAAAGTCCCTCCCCTTTGCTAGTGGAAGAGCATTGAATTCTAAGATGGGAGGACATGGGTTTGAATCCCCACTCTGCTGGTTACTTACTGTGTGACCTTAGAAAACTCACTTCTTTCTCTGACTCTGTTTCCTCATCGGTAAAATGGACCTAAACATACACACACTTCCTCCTCTAGGTGGTTGGAGGTAGTCATGAGTCTGATCTGCTCCTACAGAATGAGGTTTCCATCACCCTGTCTTCCCCCACCCTCTCTCATCATTACACTGTTTCTCCTTCATGTTTTATTTAGAAAAATTCATTAGAGATATGTCTATAACCCCATTTTACAGAGGAAGAGATTGGAGCACAGAGAGGTAGAAGGACTTTCTAACAGTCACACAGCAAGTCAGTGATGGAGCTAGGGAGAGAGAGAGAGAGAGAGAGAGAGAGAGAGAGAGAGAGAGAGAGAG